ATGTAAGATATACTCGCAGCAGTCTCTAGACGTGAGGATCCTCGGGGATACGTGTTGAGAATTTCGTATGTTGATGGGTACCACCGATGCAGATACGGGGACCCTTTTGGCCTTGGTTGCGGTGTTGAAGGCTCGCGCATCTAGCGCACTGCTTTCGCTCTCTCCACCGCTACCGCCGTCTCTCTCCAATCAAGTTTCCTTCTCCAACGCTTTCTCCAACGCCAACGCAATCTCAATCTCTACCTCTCTCTCTCGGCCTAACACGGCCGACTACCCACTGCCCCAACAGACGCCCAACACGGGCTTGCTGCACCCCGCGTAGTTTACCTTTCAATCCTGATTGGAGCATGAAGCTACTGTGCATGTTTTCATTGTCCCAGTAGCAAGCCCCCCGTGAGAGAAACACTCTCTCCGGCCGCCCGCTCCCGAAGTACATGTATCATTTGGAACTTCAACAGCAGCTACTCTTCGAACTGTATATATCTAGTAGTATAGACTACACAACGAGGATATTTTACTGTTCCATCTTAGCACACCACAACGTTGTGGGCAATCACAAGTTGAACGGTTCGCTCACCAGCATCCCACGCCAATTAAGGGTTCGCGCGATGGTTCCGTACTTGCAGAATTTCGCCTTACGTAACCATTAACGAGTTCGCATATTTATCCTACGGATATATTTGGTTGGCTGGTAATTTTGGTTGCGGTGTGTGTTGACCCGCAAAGCTGGTGCGTACCGTAGTAGCTCTCGCGCAACTGCTGTGCAACAGAGCTCCCGAAGTCAAGAGTAAGGAGGAGGTGTTGCTCGCGTGGTCTAATCCCCCTTCCTTACGACGAAGCATCGTGTGCCTTTGCTCGGCCCCTTTCCTCAACTCGCTTCAGAGGTATGGCAGGCAGGCATGGTACCATGGGAGCCAGCTCTCAAGGGCTTCTGCCGTCATTGAATAAGTCTCGCCACAACTGGTCGGTTCGTGTACTCCGTCAAGGCTCGCTGCCGCCTTCTCCCTCCCTCGCCTCTCTCGTTTGAAAACTGGGCTGGCGCTGAAGTTGATCCTTACCAACAGCAGGAGGTGAAGAAGAACCGCCTCGGTTTCTGTTGCTGCTGCTGCCGTCGGATCTGTCCTGGTGCATGCCCATGGCCTTCTTCGGGGGGCGGGATAGCACCTGTCACCACACGACGAAAGAGCCACGGCAGGTGTCGATATCACGCAGTAAAAAGCGCGACGGAATGAGAGCGCAGAACATGATGCCGGAACGACTGCGGTGCGAGAAAACAATGAATGGTCCTTATCAGCGGCACTCGATATCAGAGACGCCGCAAAAGAACGACGGCAATAAAGGTGATGCAAGTGAACCCCGAACGTTAGCGTTACGGGCGGCAATTGTGTGTACGCTGTGTTGTTGTTGTTTTCCCAACCATATGTGCTCCGTACCTTTCCTTCTCCACCTTAAACTTCTCCAAGACTCTCGCAGCATTAAAAGTGTAACAGCGAATGGATGAGTTTGGAATCACTTTCAACGAGCGGCAAAGCTGCTCTCTTTTGCATGTCTCCCGGGAATGTGTGGCATCAAGCAATGCGGTCACGTAAAGCCAAACTGATGTGTCGTGCACAATATTTGGTGCACAAAACGACGACGCACATCCGGGTGCTATGATGCTTGCGTCAAACCAACGTAGTCCGGGCGAGACACGGAAAGTATACAACGATGTCAGTGTGGGGTGAAGAACGGCTATTATCGCTTGAACCGCTGTTCTTAAGTTACCTCTTGAATGCTGTACCCGTCGGGTATGAAGCAGAATTTTTTCCTCCCAGTGACGGCGGCAGCCGGATTGAGCCGATTGGCAGCCCGAGCAAGGCGCCCGGGGTTTGGCTCGCTCAGGCTTTTCTCGAGCACGGTGTACGCCTCTTGAGACACCTTTAGCAAGACACGAATGTGTGGTACACGAGGACAAACATCGCGATAGTTCCGACGTTTTAAAAAATCTCCCGTGTGGATAGGATTGTGGATTGTGTACGATGTCATGCAAAACCAAAAAGCACGGGGGCTTAGACGCTCGGTTGCGCGAGACCGTGAGCTGGCGTGAAGGGCGGGGATGGATGTGTTCATGCCAATGTTCTGTCATGTGCAACTATCGGAAGCTCTACAGCAAGGTGGTGATGGTAAGCACCTTTGTGTCGAACTTTCTGGCGAACAAGGCGCCACTGTCCATGGCGACGTTGACGTTACCACTTGCACCACCCGTGATGGGGTCCGGGTGCAATACATAGTGGCCCTCGATCACATCAGGCCACGATACGAAACGAAGATTGTCCTGTGGGCAACACGACAGAGTAGGAGCTCAAATCAAGCATACCAAGCAGTTAAGCACCGCAAGCGGCACGTTTCAAACGGCAGGATAACAACAAGGCTGGGCACTCGGCGACGTACCGTGAAGCTGCACGACAACCGTTTGGTAGCCAAGCACACGATCGGTACCTTCTCTGCCTGTACGTTTTATTTCTTGAGTCGAAAGTCCTTTGTGGTCCCGGCCGGTGCTTCCAAAAACGTGCCCGAAGGTGTACAAAAAAACGAAATTGGAGACACATGGGCGGCGGCACACACACACACAAAAGCTTGTTCTGGTATTTTATCCTGCTCCAAGGCTAACAACGTATTGTTCATTGGTCAGGCCAACATTTGTATTAACTTAGCTAAGCCGTTGTGTGCCTTGTTAACCTTACCGGTTGAACAAGGAAGCTCGGCGCCAGAGGATGGCAAAGCACGGTCTGGAAATAGCTCTCGTCGGAAATGCGGAACTTCGAGAAGTATGCCTGCAGTCAAGGATATTGTTTGGTGATAGATACAAGCAATGTTGAGTTTAGCATCGATTTTGGTGTTTACTTGATTGTCGGTATTGATTGGTAGAGGACTTCGGAGAAGGCTCCAGCTTTTAGTTAGACAGGTCTGCCGAGCTGAGCACATCACGACCACACTGAGCGGTAACCCGCGTCGTTGTACGACGATTTAGCACAGTCTCTGACCGCTTTGGATAGGTGGTCTCTGGGGAGGCTCACACTTGTTCGATACCATTTGCACCCTTGTTGAGTTCATAATGACGGTTTTCGTGTACATGGAGTGACGATGCTCCCTTTCTAATGCCCTTAGTGCCGCAACCATTGTTTCGTATTGCATCCAAAGACGTTCTGACGAGACTAAGGTGATTTTCTTTGCGTTGGTCAACGGCGAAAGAAGAGGTTGTCACCTGCAGTGAGCGAGCGACGTTGTCTGGTGACGCCTCAAGGTATTTGCAGAAAGACCGGTGAAGGATCACCCAGAACTCTCCTGCAAATTGGGAATAGTCAGAATAGGGCAAGAGTCAGGGGGTCGACACATGAGGCATGCAGAGACCAAATATTTTCCTTTGGGTTTTCGGGTTGCAGCCGCTCAAATACTATTCCAACCGCGATTTGGATATCAATGTCAGCTTACTGACAACTGAATGATAAAACCAGAGGTTGACTGAATTCTTCATTTTCTCAATTATCCCCCTGTTGGACGGCGAGCAAAACACTGCAAGGCACTAGCTAGGGAACACCAGCGCCACCGACGACAACAACGACAACCAATACCATACCACAACAGCAACAATAACACTTCTTGCCGTGCCTCGTCAATGCATATCGTTCCCGCAAGCCTCTTTTATCCGGTGAGTACTTGTAGGCCGCCTGGAGGGAGTGATGCGTTGAGCTACAACATGTACGGGGCTCTCTAACGACACGAAATCCCGCCTTCCCTCACCCCTGCCCTATGTTAATGGTCGCGCTATTTTTCGTCGCTTACCTTTGTAGACGGTGAACATGGACTTGCTCGGGGGAAGTCGAGCCTTGCCGACCTTGAGGGGTCTGCCTGCCTTTGACGACTGAAAAGTCGCGAAAGCAACCGAGCAAGCATCACAGCCCCCGAAGAAGGTAGGATGGGAGGGTTGAGCACGCGCTCATGCAATTGTTCAGTCTTTTCTCGGCTCAAGCTATCACCATAGGTACACGACCCGTTTTAGCGAAGTTTCTTGCCTGATCTCGGGTCTCCGCATATTGTCGGCACTGTCATTTTCATCCCGAGTTCATTATCGTGTGAGCATAAGATCAGACCATCCTCAAAGAGAAGCCGCCTCCTCGGTAACAATTGTGTACAATATCGTTACGTAAGTCTTTGTTTGCAACTCGAAACAGCTCCCATCTAAGGAAAAAATTACTCGACACCCCTTTAAGGTGTGGTCTGGCGTAAACCTTACGCGACGTGTGATGGATGACAACAACGTACCTGAAACTTGGACATATTCTTGATCGCGTGTGTCAATTCTTTGGTCGTTGTTGCGTGGTGTTGTGTTCGTCATGTTCATGTTTCATGGCTATCAAAGATGAGACGGTCCTCCGTACACGGAATTGAACAAGTCCTAACCTAACCTCACCTGCTTTTCACGGTAGAGGCCCTGATCGTCGATGAGCACCTCTGCCCTGTTCCTCTCGTTGAGGGGTTCGCCTGAAACAAAGTTCATCCCCACATCCGCGTACTTGCCCAACACGGTAGTCAGTTCGGACTGTTGGACAAGGCCCGATACCACGTGTTTAGAGAGAGAGGTATGAACACAACGTGGAGACGATAGTATCAGCCGGTGGTCTAGTCCAGATGAGCTCGGATGCAAAAACTATCGTTGGAAATACACCTGAAACGTACTCGAATTTGCCGTTTCTTTCTCCTATGTTACACAGTCAAACAAGGTATCACAGGACTGATGGCACACACAGTCTTGCAGCGAGCACGTCGATTCACGCGGGGTCGCAGAGCTCTCCAGCGCACGGGTTCGGAAAAAAACAGACATAACTTGCATGTGAACGAATCGGGTAATGTAAATGATTGGAAAAAACAATTCCTGTTTGGGCACTGTGTGAAACGCTGATCTATCAAACAAATTTCCGGCGTTGCTCAAACAATAACCTAGAGTCTCACTCAGAACGGTTCTTTTGAAAGTCAGCAACTAAGCAACACGCTACGGTGGGCACCCTAGGTCGTGGGGAATAGAACAGTTTGGTTTTCAAAGGGAGCAAGAACAACGTTAAACAATGCGTGGGGAAAACAGGCAAAGAGATTCCACCTCCAGGCCAAACCCACGGTCAGGGGAAGCATTCTTTGAAGACAACGAGGAGTCGAATAGAGAGTTCAAAACCTGACATTCTGAGGGTGTCACCTGAGGAAGAAGCGGGAAATCTGAAGCAGAAAGGTTGATGAAAAAGTCCCACTCGTCATTCCATTGCACCATGGTGCATATCCCAAAAATGGCGGTGAGAGTGATGGTGTAGCCGCCCCACGACACGTCCAGAGCGGGTTCAAGCATCCTGAAACACGTTGTATTGGTATCATGTACACACGTAATATTGTTTACGTGCGGTCGTACAACTCTCTCGTACGCATCACGAATCTAACCGGAGTGCCACATCAAGCTATCCGAACAAGAACGGGAGGAGGAGGAGGAGGAGGAGGAGGCCGAACACGCGACAAAAACTTGCCTCCGTTTCCTAGTCTGTGAATCATTGCGTTACTGTTAAGTTGAGAAACACGTTTGCGNCGGGGAGGAGGAGGAGGAGGAGGAGGAGGAGGCCGAACACGCGACAAAAACTTGCCTCCGTTTCCTAGTCTGTGAATCATTGCGTTACTGTTAAGTTGAGAAACACGTTTGCGTATCCAAGTCAGGTCAACTCCTCTTTACAAATATAGAGGAGTCGAGCTACTCCGCGGCGTACTATTCTGTGTCACCTGACGTTGTCCCATTCCTCGATGAAATTCTCGAAATCTCTCCGGATAGAGTGTTTGTCCTTACGGTCCAGGTGCACCAAGTAGAAGTTGTTCGGATCGTAAATGGCCTTTTCCAAGAGCGCATAGAACGTGCAGGTCGAGGCATGTGGTCATCGTGAAGGGATTACATCGAAGATCGAGAAACGTGTCGTAAACATGGTATGACAAAACATTCGGCGACAGAAACAAGCGAGAGGGGAGGCTCATCTTATCGAAGAAAGCCTTAGATGTGGCACGTGATCACGGACCTACGGGACATCGGAGAGAACCAGCGTTCCTTGCCACGTTATCACAAAAGGTGCGCTGTTTGTAGATTCTAACGGGCTATCCAATGATCTGAGAAATGAGAAAAACGAGATAGTTGTCGTTTTCTTTGGCCAAGTATAGCCATGTGAGGGCCCCAACGCCTCAAAGGCAGCCCGAAGCGATGAGTACAGGCAACCGAGTATCCTGTGTTTACACAGCATCAGACGTATTGTAGATGTTGCGCCTTGGTCAAATGCGTTTCGCTTTTGCGAAAAGGAAAGCCACCGTGGTCATTCTCATGGCACAGGAGTACTGTGGTATCATAACCAACAGCAATATGTCGAACTTACAGGGAAATGGTACAGGTGGCATACCTTGAGTAGACGTTTCGTCTTGTGGAGTTCTTCGGTCCCGCTAGACATGATCAAGTAGCCGATTCGTGCCCTCTTTTCCTGCGTCGAAGCAGCACCTCCACCACCATCACCGTCGCCACCCGAAGCAGGAGCTGTCGTGGTTATAGCCACGTCGCCCAGAGCCCTTGACACGCTAGAGGGTGCCCGAGAAGAGGCTGGGATTGAAGGTGCATCGAGGTGTTCGCGGTCATTCTGGCCATGGAGACCTTCCGACCTGCGGCGTCAGCAGCAATCAACCACCTATCCATGAGTTGGCAAACTGAACAGAGATTTTCAATGCCAGGCCTTGCTCTATCCTTGAGCTTTCCAGTTTACTTGGAAGTAGTTGCCCCAACACACCTGAGGGTCCGGAGCCATCTATAGTCACATTCCGTAGTTCTCCTCAATCGCCCGTAAATGTATTGAGAACCTTGCAGGGTTCGAAGGCGCCCTACTGCGATTTGGTCGCTATCGCAGACACCCTAAACGCCGCTAGGAGTGATGAGATGCATCTTCTCTTACCTGAATCGTCCCCTGCTGTTACCGCGTGGGACCGAAGCAGTCGCTGTCGTAGTCGCCCTATCGTTGCCATGGGGTGGCAGCACCGCTCCACTTGCGGTCCATCCCTTCCCCTGTGGACCGGCGATGACGGAGTAACCAAGAAAACAAGTCAACCATAAAGCAAGCGAGCGTGGACACCAGGAGTTCATCCCAACAAGCGAAAGACACAAGTTAGTGTAGCGTAACAGTGTCCCGCTTCAACAACATGTTGTATGTTTTTACGTAACATTGAGTAAAGAGCTCAATCATGTTTGATTTTTGGCAGGCACAGATGGCCAGGGATGGTGCAGATGGTAGATTGGATCATGGGAGGTTGAGAGGGCGGGATTGACCTGAAAATGCTTTATGTCAGCCCGCCCTGCTGATTGGATCACCGCTACCACCCGCGATGACGGGTTTAGTTGCCCGCGGTGGCGTGCAGCCTTGGGATTTTCAAGGTTGTAACTCGCACTTCCACAGCCAATTGCCTCTGGTCACCGGTGTTCTACTGCGAAACATTGTTGGGCGAGCGCACGCACGGACAACTTGCAGATTGATGTCGATGGCTAAGGAGACCCAAGGGTGGCAAGCAACTGCAATCTGACCCGTAAGTGTCTCATAGGCACCAACATCCCGCACAAGAGTGCAGTGGCGCCGGCGTTTGTGTCACATTTATTTGTGGCAAGTCATTCCCGCACTGGCATCTTGAACTGTTCCCATCCCATAGCACGAGATGGATTCCCTGAATTCGATTTCGGGTGCCAAGTACATGATACCCAATACCCGTGCGTACTGGGAACCGCCAGCGATCAAGTCACTAAAAAAAAATGTTGAAAACTAGAAGCATGTAGCAAGTTGTTTGGAATGCCCACTCTGACCACAGGAAAGAAACGCGGATGCCATGATGTGCGAAATAGCGAAAAAATAAAGTATTTATTATGCAAAATAGGGGTACCAACCACACGTAATAGTGGTCAGCGGGGTGCACCTCAAAAGCAAGCGCTATATTTCGTATAGACTATTGGATGGACGGACATTTTTGTCAGGTTCATTCCATGTTTTTCTCGAGGAGGAGCTCGATAACGAAGGCCAGGGAAAATCAAATACCCCGCGGAGTTTTCTTCGCATTCAACAAAGTATCCAAAGCCAAACATCCCGTTGCTGGCCGTATGCAATCATGCTCTTCCCGTAAAAAAATTGGTGCAGGCCGTAAGAACAAGTAGTCGGAGCAGATGTTCTGCTGTTCAGTAGATACCATGGACAAGCCCGGTCACCGTCAGGAGATGGGATATTTCTTGCATGCGGAGGTCGAAGTCTATCCAAACCCGGACGTCCTAAAGCAGTAACAAAAGAGAAGCTTGTGATCAAGTCCAGATCTCAAAGATCGACTGTCTGCACGTACAATTCTACGTCGGCCATACCGATGCCTTCAACAGTTTGATTCGCGCCCGGACATCTCCTTGCATGTGAAGTATGTCATCTGGAGTAAGATTGGGAATGGCTCGTGTATGATCGCTTGCCCCACCAGGCCAGAACTCTCATGCACACCTGGTGGGCGATGACCAGCATAGCAGCAACCACAATAGCAGAAGCAACCAAGAAGGCCTTCGCCACGTACCGCGGCAAGCTGTGCTGCCGCTGGTGTTTTCTTCCCGAGTCGACGTGCAGGACGCCCCCACCACGCTGGAGTTTGTCGCTGGAGACAAGCCCACACTCCTGCGCAGATATCGAATTGACTGATCCGCTCGCGAAACGAACTCCGGAGCCGTGCATCTTCAATGCCACCGGTAGAGAGGTGTACTTGATTCCCGGTAGTCCTGCTGTGCCGCCAGTTGCAGCAGTTGCCGCGTCTTGTTGGACGTCCTGACGTTGTCTTTGATGCGTAGGCCTCGACCCGTTCCCGCTCTCTTCTTCCTCTGCTTTCTCCGACCAAGAGTGCCATAAACTCGACCGCGTATCCATTGGCTTGTGTGAGTGATGAGTACTTACGCCCAACGCACGATTTAGATCCTCATCTTTGCGCGCGATGCACGCTCCTCGATGGAATTACACGTCGCGGGCGCCAACAGATGAATGAACGGATTCCAGCCGTTTCATTTTTTTTTTCGCAAGATCGAAGAACGCTTCAAAATCTCTGGAGTTCCCCGTACGCCAGAAGAAGTGCGTTGAAGTGTGATATCACGTGTTTGTGCCCTTCCAAGTGGCTATGGCGTCAGCTGGTCCCCCCAGTCGAAGTAATACTCTTCCACTTGGCTGACTGTCCTTCGAGCTGGCGGTGAACATTCGCGGAATCTCCCCTGTAGCACCACACCTTTTCTTAGCTGGCTACTGCTGTAGACTAGACTATGCGCCTGGTACTGAAATTGAAAGAAATACGTCTCTTTGGTGTGGAATTGCTCCATGTACCACGTATATATATCTGCTGTGCATGTAATGAAGGCCCGGCATTTATTCCCAGCTTCGAAGTTTTTTTATTCTTCGACCTCTGGCTATGGCACAGGCCGATAATAAGTCTTCGGGCTGGTGACACATGGGGACATGTACGCACCGGTCGCCCCGGCGGTCTTGTGGGTACCCTCGCAGTCTGCTAAGGGCCAGGTCATGGGTTCGAGTCGCGGCAGAGTGAGTATTTTTCTCACGAAATAAACCCTGGTCTATAATGAAAGCAACGCGCTGCAAAGCTCGTTGTTAGTAAGCCATAATCGACTTCGTAAGTCGCGAGGGGCGGGTTCCGAGCTAAAGCCGAATTTATTTGGGGGGGGGGGGGAACGGA